TGGGTTAGCTTTCAGATCTTGTTAACTGCTTTTGGTACCCCCGTGAACACACAGGGCAAACCCATCTTTCAGCAGACAGCCAAAGGTGACGTCGGGATGGGAGGCAGGGAGAATCAATACAGTAAGGGTATTTTTAGGGACTCTTGATGGATTGCTGTATTTTGAGCTTAACTTCGAGTGCCAGATGCCCCAGAGCTGAGTAAGATGAACTCACCATTTGCTGAGAACCGTGGGGCCGTCGTGCACCCAGAGGGCTCTGAGGTCACCAAGACAAGACGCACCTTCTTCCCCGCCCCGTGCAGTCTGGGGGAGAACCCCTGGATCATTCTAGCAGCCTCTCGTGGCGTTTGGGTGAGGGTTCACTCTCCTTGCAGAAGCACAGCGTCACCGAGCTGATGACCTCCAGGTCCTGGTAACGCGTAGCTGTGAGCTTTCAGGACAGGATCGTATGGCGGCAGATCAAATGAACCCTGCGGACCGGGAGCGGTCGGAGGCACCGCGGCGCTAATGACTCCGCGGCCCTCCCTGAAGGCGGCCCCCCAGAAGGTGGGAGCCGTGTTAAGCTGTGCTTCCGTCAGCAGGCTGAAAGCAGTCGCTCGCAGGTTTCTCTCATTGCACCTCATTTGCATCTGGGACATCAATTAGCATGTTTGTTGAGGCTAATTGAATGAAACTCAATCATAGCTCTTAATTGCTTGACTATGTGAAAAGAAATCACATTAATGCAGCTAATTAAGTGTACGGCAATAGATGCAACATAATTAGGAGCGAGAGGTAAAAAACAAGGGTTGGCAGAGGTGTGGGAGCCGGGTTGCGGGGGGACCCGGCGCACAGTCACCAAGGCTATCGACACGTTCAGGAACGGGTCCCTGTGCTCCCGCGCCTGCTTGGAAAAAAGAATCCTCGCGACGAGCGCGCGGACAACTTGAGAAGAAAAATGCAAATAGGTTGGCAATTACTACTTTTTCAAGCTGTTGTGGGGCGGGAGATGGCGCCTCAGAGGGGCCTGGCTCTTGAGTGGGCCCCGGGGACTTGTTACGTGCTGTTTAAAAGTACTTGGCTTTGAATTACCCTCATGCCTCGTTAAAGGGTTTTTCCCCCTTTTATCATCGATCAGCATTTTCTACGAGGAGCATAAGAAGGGTGGTATCTGTAGCATTTGCATATCAAAATCAAGCTTGCTGGCTTTATTTTACCCGGCGAGGTCCCTCCCTCGGGCCCCCGCAGGCCGCAAGTCCCGCTTCTGAGGAGGCCACGTCGTCGTATGCCGGTTGTGGCTTTAATTCCTCAACTGCCAAGCTGGGGAGACATGAAAAGGGATGGATTCTTTCAAACACGGGAAACTCAGCATCGTTTCTCTTGGGGGAACCCAGAAGCCACATACTCAGGCCTCCTTGGCTTCCACTGTTTCTGAAGCACCACCTCCAAGGGCTTTTCGTGGATTAGGAAATGCATCTTGTAAGGTCTGTTAAAAAAAAAAAAAAAAAAAAAAAAAAAAAACCCCCAGGGGGTTGAAACCAAAAATTTGAAATTTTAAATTTTGGGGTTTTTTTTTTTTTTTTTTTTTTTTTTTTTTTTTTAGATCTAGTTCCTCTGAAGTTTCGACGCCTAACTCAAGCGAGGAAACAGATTCCCTGGCCCATGCTGAGCCAAAGATAAATGTGTTCCCTTGCCGCGTTCACATCCAAAGAGCAGACTCTTGGTACATTTCTATAATAATTTTAAATAAAATATCCTGGTTATTGTATGTTAAAACATGCCTATTAAAAGAGCCCATGCTGAGGCTTAGTCACTATCTGATTAGCCTCATTTTAGAGCCCATAAGCAATAAATGCTCAATTACACTCCTGTTATTGTATTTTAATTTGTTAAGAATTGGCATTAAAGAAGAAAGTTATAGCAAGTTGATATTTTTGAAAGAGCAAGTGTGGGAGAATGAAGTCATTCTGTACAAGCCTTGACTTTGGTTCTGAAGCTTGGGTTTGCCCATTTTCTTTGGATATTAATGGAAGTACGTTGAAGATGTCTAAGAACGACCTTTGTTTTTTCTTTAATGACCTGGACACTTTGCCCTCCACTAAGCAAGGATGGCTTCCTTGGTGCTTTTTGTTCACATCCCCAGAACCTTGAGCTCAGTCATGAGTCTTCCCGTATTCCTTCCCGTCTGGATCTGTTTGCTCCTTCACTCTGATTTCGTAACCACCGTCTTTCTGTCTTTGGTCCATATCCTTCCAAAACCACAGCTCTTTCACGGTTCATTATATTTTGGGGTGTTGCCCAAGCGTCTTGACTTCCACGTGGAGTCTTCAGTCTTGTTGCGAGGGCGGAGACTGACTCCAGGCAGCGCGTCCTGCGGGGTCAGCATGCCTCGGGACCTCTGCTCCTGGCCTCCATGGCTCACGGGAGGCTTGTGGATGCCACTGCCGCTCTCCGGATGGTTGATTTTATAAATGCTGATGAAGGCCCAGCCTCCCCACTGCCTCTGAAGAGCTGGTCTGTATCTGCCCCACTTTGGTGCAGCTCCGATCCTTTCTCTGGCCGTCTTCAGTCCCAGATCCCTCCTGGCTCTGGCCTTGCTTGGCCTTGTGAGGGTGTGTTTGCCACCAAGAGTTGGCCGTTTGAGTTGTATCCTTAGGAAGTCATTAGGGACCCTGTGGCATCTTTTCCTCCTGGGTTGGTGCTTTTCAAACCTTCTAGAGTTCTGTGTTTGCTCCATCAGAACGTCTCCCCCCACCGTGGCCAGGCCTTCCCATTCTGGGCTTTTTCTTCCTGCCCTTCCTCCTCTGCTGAGAATTCCCACGCCCTCTTTCCTGAGTCTGGGTCGGCTCCCGCGTGCCCCCCTCTAAGTGCTCTCTCTCTCTCTCTCTCTCTCTCTCTCTTTTTTTTTAAACAATTCTCATTTTTTTTTAAGCGTGGCAGAATAGGGGTTTTTGTTTATTTTGTCTTATTTTAATGTTTATTTTTGAGAGAGTGCAAGTGAGCGAGCGGCAGAGAGGGGGGACAGAGGATCTGAAGTGGGCTCCATGCTGGTGGACTGACACCAGCAAGCCCGGTGGTGTGGGGCTTGAACCCACAAACCGTGAGAGCATGACCTGAGCCAAAGTCGGACACTCAACCAACTGAGCCACCCAGGTGCCCCTCCTCCCCACCTTTTTTCTAAGTTTCTTTATTTACTTTGAGAGAGCGCAGGGGAGGAGCAGAGAGAGAGAATCCCAAGCAGACCCTGTGCTGCTAAGCACAGAGCCCGACGTGGGGCTCGATCTCACGAACCATGAGATCATGACCTGAGCCGAAATCAAGAGTCAGATACTGAACCGACTAAGCCACCCAGGTGCCCCGTAAGTGCTTGTGTTGTGGGGTGAGGTCTCTGCTTTTGACACTCGAGGCCGACCCTCCCTCCAGCAGACTGCGGAGGGACGATGCCGCTTCTCGTGCTGTCTGTCCTGAGGAGCCGCGTGTGGGTTCCCTTCCCCCGTGTTGGCATCTTGTGCTTCTGGTCCCTTTTTTGTGTCGTTGCTTCTGTCCGCAACCGTCCTGCTGTTTGATGACCCAGTGACTGCTTCTCAGCCCCTTCGCCTGCTGGCACGTGAACTTAAAGGCTCCGCAGCCTGCTTTCCAGAAGCCGGGGATCCTTGCCTCGGCTTCCCTGCTGCTCTCCATGCCCCCTTTGCCTCCCTTGATAGACTTCGGCTGACTTGCCTCATCCCACAGCCTGGGCCTCTGTCCCTTGTGCCGTGCTTCTAGGCCTTTATCTGGTTCTCTCTGCGTCGCTTGACCCTACAGGTTAGCAATTACAACTCACTTTTCCAGCCTCCCTGGGTCCCTGGCGGCCCACACCCTGGTTTATTTGGCGGTTCTTCTGAAATTACATTGACAAGAACTTCATTGTTCATCCTAACTACAGATTTATTGGCTCTTCCCCTTTATATTCTGAAAGGAATTCTACCAAGATTCTGCCAAGGAAGGAATGCATTTGTTGCATTTTATGCTTAGCCTTAAAACACTTGACGTGCTATTTGCCCAAGAATGTTTTAGAATATGCCCTTTCTTAATGTGTGAGGTCGATTTAACATGTCTACATGTTTGGCCAGGGGGCACTTTGCCAAAAAAAATGCATTTTGAAGGGTCAGTAATTCCTAACTCACCAGTCGGCCCCTCACCCTGACTCTCAGCTGCTTCTCTCCCCCGACTCGACAACCAACTCTTAGATAATGTTTTACTCTGCACGGAATTGTCCAGCGACCCCCACAGATACCATCCCTGTCTACCTAGACATCCCTGTGGCTCCCTGTTAACTGGGTCATCCACCTCCAGCATGAAGAGAACACAAAGATGCTTTCTCTGGGCACGGTGAGCCGCTCGGAGAAACACAATGTTTGAGTACCAAAGAACGTTCTTTCTTTTTCCACATCACATCCGGACATTACATACCCATCCGCGAGCTCCACGTTTTCTCAACACCGTACCACCAACGCCCTCAGACATTTTCCTGGTCCTTATTAGTAAAATGCTTGGCCTTTTATTTCAGGAGTTTCTTACCTGAGTTCCCAACAGGCCGCTTCATTCTTATCTAGAGGCTTCGTGGTGTTGCCATCCAAGGCAGAAGAGTTGTTATAAAATAGCTCCCTACTCCCTGGAACTTTACCTGAAACTTACAGGAAGACCCCAGGGTCCTAGTGCACCTTCTATAAGCAGCAGTTTATAAAATACGATTTCACGTGGACACTTGTTTTCTCCAGCTGGTTTCTAATCCCCCTGATGGAAGCATTTCCTGTGTCTGCTTGGATTTGAGGGACCTGGGTTAGTTCAGGACAAAGAGACTGTGGTTTCAATATAACGATGATGCCACCATAGTAGATCAAAACCTCATTATTTTTAAAGTGCTTGCCACGGTGGAAGGGTCATAGGATTACAACTCGTGGTATCTGATAGAACCTTGTGTCCTAGATTGTGAAAGGTCTTCTTTTTAATATCTCTTGGATGTTTAACATTTTGAACAGGATTACATGCAGAATGTTCATGGTAAAGAGATTGATCTTCTGAGAACCACTGTGAAAGTCCCAGGGAAGAGGCCACCCCGAGCCACGTCGGCCTGTGCGCCCATCTCCAGCCCTAAAACCAATGGCCTGTCCAAGGACATGAGCAGTTTACACATCTCCCCAAATTCAGGTAAGCTCGCAGCGGACGTGCTGAAGAATCCAGCGTGACGACGGCAGTAGATGTCGCTGGTTGCAGGAGAGTGCGGAGCCCTTGCGGTCAAGTGAGATTTTAACCATTAACATTGTACGTTAAGGCTTAGAAACCTCTTCGCTTTCTGTGGGTGGTTCTGTGACTGCCAGCCAGCACGTGGTGCCATTTTGAGTCATGGCCGCCCAGACCAAACCACGAGGTCGTCCCCTAGTTGTGTAGTTGAAAGTCGAGGCTCACATATGATCGAGGATTCGGGGGCCTTGTAAAACACGTAAATTAATCGTGCGGATATCAAGGGTTGGTATTCATTTGTGGCGACCCAAGTGGATAAAAGAAGGAGAGCTATTTGGAGCAAGATTTCAAGGAAACTGTTGGACCTATCTAAGATTTCCGTTCTCTCGGTTTTGTATGGTAACTGCCGGGTCATTCTTTAACACAACTCTAATTTTTCCTGTTCTCTTTCTTTCCTGTTCTCTTAAAAAGCGTTTGCTTTTTAATTCGGGATCAGAGAGCGTGTTTTCTCAAATTTAGACGTGTTTAGAGATTCCTGGCCTTTGTGTGCAATTGCAAGCCGTTCAAAATGTCATGGGTCGCTTTTGTTTCAGAATCTTTGCAAATGACTGCCCCCGGCTTTAACCTTCTGGTGATTATTATCAGAGAAAAGGCTGGAGTCCTCCTTCTGACACGCTTCAACACATGGATTTGTTTTCCCCAGCAAAAAGTCCCTTCCTCCTCTCTAACCTACATCCAGTCTTCTCCAAATAAATTATGGTTATGCGGCACTTTCCAGCATATGTCTTTGCTTCTTAAAAACGCTGCATTTTCCCCTTTCTGAGATGTTAAGTGCTTTTAAAGAGGGATGATGCTAACCCCACGGTTCTGTGGCATAAATATGGCACTGGTTGGTGAAAGCAGGGTAGGAGAAAGGGGCCAGAATTGGGGGCCATAGCTTGGGCTTTACTTCAGGATGCCAAGTGGTGTTGGACAGCTCACTCAGCCAGGTTTTACCACCACATCAGGTCGATCTTGCCTGGCCTGCCTACCTCACAGAGATGTGATGGCAGGTAAGATAACACATAGGACAGTTTTGGGAAACTCATAAAGTACGATACAAGCAGCAGCCGTTATCACCAGTCAAAACAAAACTGGGCTGGGCTTGCCATCAAAGGAGACATCAGTTCATTCCAGAGTGGTGACAAGGTCTCTCAGGACCTGCTGACCTTCCTTCTGAGACATATATGAAGTTTCCCTCTTCAGGGTGGTGTGCTAATGCTGGGATTAGAAGAGAGAAAAGAACCACCCAAGGGAAAACAAAAATTCAGTATTGAATGAAAAGCTAACGTCTTCACCACTTTGTATTTATTAATTTACTCAAGACATATTTACTGACCACCTGTTCTGTGCCAGGAACGGTGTGTGCTGTGGATACAGGGTCCCTGATCCGCAGAACTTCTGCAAGAGGCGGGCCTCTTCAAACCAGCTAATTTTCCACTTCCCCTTGTAAGCCATCGTGTCAGATCCACGCGTTTATTTCTTCAAGTCAACAAACGTGTATGGCATTTCTGACGTATGCCAGGCCTGGTCCTGGGCCCTGGGGACGCAGAAGGTTAAGACGTCATCTCTCCTCTCCAGAATCTCACCCTCTGGTGGGGAAGACAGACGAGCAGACAAGTAAACGCAGTGCCACATAGCAGGCCACGGCAGGAGTACGTACGGGGGCCTGCAGGCCCAGGGGTGATGTGTTCCGCGCTACCCTAGGAGACGGGGCAAGGCCTCAGGGCTGGGGCACCACCTGTGCTGAGTGTAAACAAAGGAAGGGAATTTGCCAGGCATCAGGGTGGGAGAGGAGCCTCCGAGGTGGAGAAGTGTGGATACGTAAGGTTTGCTGTTTAAATTCCTTAATCTTGAGACTTGCATCCCATGGTGCCACTGCTCATTTTCCTAAGGAAAAATGTGACATTTGGTAAACAGAAAGTACAGAATGCCATTTAACCATGTCCTGTCCCATGCAGTAGGTTATGTATGGCCTGGGCCTGGGTTAAAGGAGTGTTTTTCAGTGCCCCCATTTCTTTTTAACGCCCCTGCCTTGGGTGGACGGGAGGACGCGGGGAAATGCCGAAACCCCTTTTCCACGCTCACAAGCCCAGTTGGTTACAGCGCATTCTTTCAGCCCTAAGCCAAGTTAATTCCTCTTTTTTTTTTTTTTTTTTTTTAATTTTCTTAATGTTTATTTATTTGTCTAGAGCAGGAAGGGGAGAAAGCACATGAGTCAGGGAGGACAGAGATAGGGAGAGAGAGAATCCCAAGCAGCCTCCACAGTCAGCACAGAGCCCGAAGTGAGGCTCAGACTCACAAACCACGAGATCATGACCTGAGCCAAAATCAAGAGTCGGACACTTAACGGACTGAGCCACCCAGGCGCCCCGCTAAATTAAGCTTTCTTAAAGGGAGCCTGCTTGGTTTTTCCTCTCCTTTGCATCACAAGTGGGGACGAGGAAGTGGGGGTGTGACATCTGCAGGATCACAGTGCCCCTTTGGGGGAAGAAAGGGTCTCGTGGTCATGGCACGCTGAGACAAGGTGACGTCATCGGCGGGCGGCCCTCCATTCCCTGCTTCCCAGGTGCTCTCTCACCTGAACACAGCAAATTTACCTGGCAGTGAATTGGCGTTACACTTACGGGGTGGACCACTGGCTAAAAATAGGTTTTATTGTAACTGTTTTAGAGCTCTTTGCCAAAGAACCTCCCATGTGCTTAACAGTATCCTTCTTTACAACTCCTTTGAGTTTTGCTGTTTTGTTCTAGAGCTCCGAGTTAACTGGTCATGGTTGCTTCTTTTTATGCTGTTCCTTTTTATTTGTTTTCTTACCTCAGTGCTGTTGGAGTAGATAAGTGTCTTGTGCGCCTTCCCTTCTAGTAACTTTTTCATTTTGCACAGACGTGACACTCGCGTGTCCCTAAATCCTTGTGCCTAACACTTCTGGTCTTAGAATAAAGGTCCATAAGTGAAGCGATTCAGCCAGTGAATATAAACACTCATGAGATTCTTGATATACATTCCAAATTAATTTCTGGAAAGGTTTTGTTGTACAAATACGCTACCATCTATAAAGTGAGTTCCCATTTCACCCACACACACTTGTGGCATTGCTATTATCGTTTTTAGAATCTGTAGTAATCTGATAAGCAATAAAAATATCTCCTGCTTTATTTGGATTTCTTCAGTTAGGACTAAGGTTGGCCATCTCACGTTTATTGTCACAGGTATTTCTTATATTGAATTGTTTAGATGTCGTCTTTTCCCTCTTTTGTACTAGGTGTTTGTCTTTTTTATTGATCTGTAAGAACTCTTTATATATTGAGGATATTAGCGCTTTATAATACATTCTGCAGATAGTTCCCCAGTTTATTATTTGCTTTTTTTCTAATTTTATGGTCTTATCTGCAGGTAGAGGTTTTCCCCGTTTTTAATATATGATCAAAATACATACGCAGAATCAAATCAGAAGTCCTTTACTTCTGTGGTTTCTACTTGAGATATTTAGAAGGCCTCTTGAAATCCTGAAAACAGTTAACAATTCACATACGTATTTCTGAGTTTCACAATTTTATTGCCTGTTTTTGAAAAATATTTAGCCTTTAATCCATCTTTAATCTGTTCGGGTCAATTATGTGCAAGAATAAATCTAATCAAACTTTTTATTCAAATTGATAACTAATTGTCCTTTCTGTGTTGAATTGTTTTCTTATAACTGTATGCATCACCTTTATTGTACAACTAATTTAATCAAACTCACCGTGTTTCTGGCCTTGAGACTCTATTCAGTTGACCTCCTGTCTCCACATGATGTTATCATGTATGGGTTTACCACAGTTTCTCGTTTACCACAGTTTCTCGTTTATTTTTTCCAGTAAACTTCAGAGTAACTTGAGACCTTCCCCTTCCCCCCAAAAAAGAATCCCACGGTGGCTCTAACTGGCATTGCTTCTAACCTATCAGTTAACTGGAGCAACTGACGACTATGTTTGCGTTTCTTGTCGTGGAACACAGGTCTCGCCCAACTTACTCAAACTTAATATACATCCCTCAGTAAAGTTCCAGGACTTCGTTTAGATGTATCGTGCGGATCCGTTCTGTTCATTTTTGGTGACGTGTGAAGCTGATCTTTTTGGGGGGTGGGGGAGGAGAGTGAAGGGGGCTGTCTATTCTGTCACCTACTTGGCAAGAAATAAGAAAGTTCCTAGTCCTTATACTTTTTATCTCCAGCCGTCTTCCTGAACTCTTGTTAGTTGGAGTGTTTATTCAGATGTCTGTCTTCATTTTGTAGTATACGGTCATAATGCATCTCGCATTTCAAGTATCACAGTGCCTCATTGTACGTCAGTTTGGTTTTTAGCCTTTACATCCAATGTCATGATTTGGGTACTTTACTGCTTCGCTTCCTGTTTCCTGTACGCTTCATCTTACATCGTTGTTGGGTCTGCCGTGTGTATGCCCAGTCCTGATGAGTGGTCTGGAGACTTGGGGGCAGTACAACGCCTTCCCTCCAGGGGCCTTATACTCCAGAAACAGATAAGGCCATTGAAGTTGGCGATCCATGCTCAAAGGACAAAGGAGGCAAGGGGCTAGAAGCCCCCGGGCCCCGCCCCCCCGGGAGGTCCTATGTTATTCCTGGTGTTGGGAAATGCTTTGCCAGTCTTGGAATGTTGACCGCATTTCATACACGAGAATGCTGGAAACGTGACGATCTTGATGTAAGGTTTTGCCCTGGGCTCGGGAAAGAGGAGAGAAACACGTCGAAGCAGCTCCCTTGCGTACTAATAACTGAGCTCACCAGTTGAGCAGAGTAAATGAGCCTTCATGAAGGTGGGGTGGCCCCACGCTCCTGTCGGGCAGCTGTGGAATGCAGGCATGGCGGGCCCAGGGACGCATTCCGGAAGAGCCGACCCTGGGCATCCCCGCCTCCAACCTGATGTGGA